TCACTGACCAATAACTCTCATTCAGTATTTAGCTTCTTGCCGTTTCTGGATAGACACCCTTTAATTGTGTTAAGATGGCAACAGGCAAAAGTAGATCACAAAAAAAAGGTTGTTGAAATTGTAATAGAGAATCATGTTTCCTATTTCCGATTTCAAGACACATTTTGCTGGATTGATGGTTAATCATGATTGTAATTGATTTAAAGGTGCCATTTTCATCTCTTCACTTTCATTATCAACATTATCAAAACCATTCAGATTAATTGTTGACGAAGTAATCACTTTTTTTTGTATTACATTTCTTCTAGTCTCGTCCTTTCTCTCATTTTACTTTCTCAATGAACAGCAAAAACAATCATCATGTAGATGATGGTGAAGATGAAGAGGAAAATTATCTTAATCATAAAAAAATTGAAGTTGATTTGTTATCATTGAAAGGCTATCATCTTACCTCGATTGGCCTCTTAAGGCATTGCGATTAATTATATTTTCATGTTCATTTTTTGAATGTTATTTTGTTTCATTTCTTCATCTTCTTACTTCTTTATATCATCTCTGGTCAAGATTACTCTTCCATAGCATTGATGATGAAAATTATATTATTTTACCTTTTTTTTGTTCATCTTCTGTTTGGTGTTAACTTGAGAAAAAATAATACAAAGATTTTTGCTTTTCATCATGGAAACGTTTTTGCTACCTTTCATCATTGAATCGTCAACGTCACGCAACACCGATTGTTACATGAACATTGTGAACATTTTTGACAATAATTTTCATCAACAGGTTAACAAAGGGAAGATATAACAAAGAAGATGAAAAGAGAAGAAGAAGATTGTGAGATGACAAAAAATTCAAAAATAAAAGGTAAAAATGATGACACAAAAAAAAAGAGTTTCAAGAATGAAAAGTAATTGTAAGATGATAATGACAATGACGATGGTAAAGATGAAGAAGAAGATGATGACAAAAAAAGATTTGAAACTTTTTCTTCTCTGAAACAGAGGAAAGAGTAAAGATGGCAAAGGAATGTATTTAATTGTTGCTAATGTGTACGTCCAAGACCTCACAGCAATCAATATTAATTGGTAAAAATTGCGATTGAAAAAGACCTCAACATTGACCTTTTCCTACCTTTTCACTTTGGTTAACATGTTTGCCTCTCTTACCCTCTTCAATGCGAATGAACCTTAACCGTTAACAAATGTTACTTGTAGCAGGTGAGTTGACCTTAACAGAAGGGTCAGTTTAAGGTCAATGGGAAAGGTTTCTTTTCCAATACGCAGTCTTTAACAAGATTATTTGTTTCAGCAAACATAAAGGTCACATTTTTCAATGACCTTTTTGTTTGAGCAACAAAAAAAACCAACAAGACTAATTATATGATTTACTTACTGTATGTCAATTGACACACACACTCATTTTAACATATCACTTGTTAAATTGTAGACTAGCAAAAATTGAAAAGGTTGATTGGTTTCATTTTTGAGTAACTTTTTTTTCCCTCTTCAACCAATTATACCATTTTGATTGAACATTTTTGTCCACTTTGGGTTTACATTTTTCTCATTGTGCTCAATCAACATTTGCTGTTTAAACCACAGACAGCTCAAGATTAACCTTTTTTTGTCTTTACAATTGTTTTAATCTTGTCTGTCTCTTTGCTAATCAAATCTCTTGCGATTTCTCTGTGTGTGAAACACCTTTATTTTTCCACCTTGTATCCTTCATCAACTCTTTCCAACTCTAACTCACTCTCCTCTTAACCTTGTTTAACCATATTTTACTTGTTATTATTTACTAATTTTTTTTACTTGTTTTGATCAATTTACAGGTTCTTAATCGTGCAATGGACTTTCGTTCTTCCTGTGAAACCAATTCACTGAATTTACCGCAAATTCCGTTAATTCCTCATCAACTTCTTCCCTCTGGGTCAAGACGAGATTGTATTAGACTTCGAGGTTTACCTTATGAAGCTCAAGTTGAACAGATTCTTGAATTTCTTGGTGAATATGCCAATAACATTGTCTTCCGTGGAGTTCACATGGTTTATAATGCTCAGGTAAATAGTCGTTAATCTTTTTTCCTGATTTCTTTAATTTAATTTCTCCTTTTCTCTATTTTCATCTCTTAGGGTCAACCTTCTGGTGAAGCATTCATCCAAATGGACTCCGAACAATCGGCAGCTCAAGCCGCAACTCAACGTCACCATAAATACATGAGTTTTGGTAAAAAGCAAAGGTACATTGAAGTCTTTCAATGTTCAATTGATGACATGAATTTAGTTTTAACCGGAGGTGTTCCACTTCAACGGCATTTACAAACTACAGGTAAGCTTTCTTTAATTGTTTAAATTTGGACAAATCATATTTTCCCTTCCTATTCATCATTGGTAATTGTTCAACATTTGTCTCTAGTTTGTCTCACTCTTTAATAGGTTGAGTATAATAAATTATTATCATTATTCAGGTGAAATATTATCTATTGAATAAAAACATGATGTTATTGATAGTCGATAGTTTCATTGGTAAAGGTCTGATTCTTATGTGAGTTACTATGAATAAAGTGAACACATTAAGTGATGTTGATATAATCATCTCAAGTTATTTAGATAATGAAAAAACATTAAAAGCGTAACAATAGTTTTTCATTTTTGCCAATCGTCTTCAATTTACTCTTCTAATCATCACAGTTATAATTATGATAGTTAATTGTTACGCTTTTAATGGATCTAGAAAGTTAACAAAAGACTATTCTTATCAATATTGATTACAACTCAATTGATTTGTCGATACCTTTTTTATTTGTTAATTTTATCAACAATTTTCCTCTCTTTTCTTGCTCTTCACAATAAATACAATTTATCATTAATTATTACAATTTATTGCAAATTATTTTCATATTTTATCATGAAAATAGAGGATAACAATCAACTGTTCAATAGTTTGTGTGTTTTTTTCAATGAAATTGTCGATGAGTTTCAAATCTCATTCTCAATTTTTTGTGATTAATATTTTTTTAATTTCCTTATTGGCCTTGTTAACTATTTAATTTGATCATTAATATTAAATCAATTTCATTAGTTGAACCTTTTTTTTCCTTCTTTGCTCCTAAAGTTACAGAAGAAACAAAAGCAAAAATGATTTTCAGTATTTGATGAGTTGATTGTTGCGCGAAAAAAGTGTATTTAGGAAACGGAAATATTAACTAAAATGGTTTATTGCTGTTTATTGTTACAATTTGAGTGATGATTAAACACTTGTACAGATATTGTATTATCAATTGGGTAACAATTGAGTAAAGAAATGAGGTTATTATTATTAATAATCAACACTGGAGAAGCATTTAAAGTAAATGGTTGGAAAGGAAAACCAGAAACAAACCATTCTCTAATCAAATTTATGTCGAGACAATTAAATATCTGTCATGTTTATCATGATTAATAAATTGCAAACCATTCATTATGATGATCATCATCAATTCATTTTTCTCTTTGTTCTTTCACTCTTTCAATACACCCTTGATTCACATATCATCCTAATTACAATCAACATTTCTGAAAAAATTTTTCATTCCATTTAATCATTTTGTTATAATTGTTACTAATTATCTTGTCATCTCTTACAGGGACAATATTACCTTCACCATACCGTGCTTATCCATACCTTGGCGGTGGCCCAGTGCTACCCGCCGGTACTGTGACTGCAGCTACAGCGGCCTTAACCACAGGAGCCGCTGGAGTCCATCCAACCTCTTATTATCATCCAATAATCTATTGGCCTTATCCAAGTCCTCCTGTTTCACCGACAACATATTATACCCATTCGGGTCCCACCATGGTAAGAACCTGAGTGAGATCAAGAAATGAAAAGTATGACAAGAAAGCACAGAGACTCACTTCACACTCATCATACTCATTACATTGGCCAACATGCACCACACACATTACTCTGTCCACTATTATAAGGCAACTAATACATGCTGCAACTACACATATTCATGCAGACAGACATTGACACACACGCCTTCATCATTTTTAATAATATAATAATTATGTAACTTGATTCATCATAACACTTTGATAACAAGTATCTCTCTTCCTCCCTTTCACACTCACTCTCACTTCTCTTCTCTTCTCTTCTTTTCTTCTCTTGTTTTTTTTACTTTTATTATATACCATTTGTATAACTGGCAGTTATATTATTGATCCTTATTATTCCTCCTTCCAAATCTCCAGATGACCTCGGAATGTATCCAGATACCTAGGAATGGAGCCGGCGATGGTCTGGTAACCTTTCCACCTCGAGTTGAGGCCGAACGTGCAATTCAAGAGAAAAATCGAGCCAACATCGGTAACCGATGTATCGAGCTTTACCTGGCTTGACCAACCTGTTTCTCTCTCTCTATCTATTTCTCTATCTTTCTCTATCTCTCTCTCACTCTACCTCTCTATTACTCTTCCATCTATGATGATCAACCATGATGATCAAATATTATAATTAATTTAACCAACATAATATCCAACGAAAAACACCAAAATATCCATACATAAACATTCCGTCCATTTCTGGTGCTTTTGCAAAGAGCATTGACAATTTATAAATTTATTCCCTCTCTCTCTATCTCTCTCTCTTTTTTTCTCTCTTTGCCCACCTCAAATGATTAAATGACCTTAAAGTGTAACTTAAATTGTTCCCAAACAATTAATCAATCCAATTATTGAATTTTTGTCTCCTTTTTTTCTCTTCTTTTTGATTCATATCTTAAAAAGCAAAATAATGAAATTGAATCTTTCACATACAAAACCCATTGCAGAGCAACAAAAACAATTTCACACATAAAACACACACACACTCAAAAAACACATTGTAACTCTCATTTTCTGGTTTCATGTTACCAACAAGTGCCTATGCTAATATAATGCTTTAATAATAATAACCATTATTATATTAATTGAACCAAAACCTTTCTCTCAATTCAATTATTTCAATAAAATGACAAATTGATCCAATCATTGTATTCATTTTGACAAAAGTGAAACCAATCTCAAATCAAACAAAATGAACCAAAAGCACTGAATGCTTAAGATGAACACCCAATCAGCCAACAATTAAAGACAATAATTAACTAGATTTTAATGAAATATCAAAAAATCAAAGTCAAGAATCTGTAAGTCGACCAGAAACAAAAATGAGCAAAAACGTCAAATCATTCAACTTGCAATGTCTTCATTTAACAATGTTTAAATGTTTCCACCTTTTGTGATTCAGTTAATCATTACAATCAACTTAATGTGACAAATTTTAGTAACCATGTTGTAACGTTTAAAAATGTTAAAACAATAGAGTCTCAATTATTGGCCTTAAACAGCGTTGAACGGCAAACTAGTTATAATAATGGATTAGCTGAGGTTCAAACAGTGTTTCATATTATGTATTTAGTGTTAGTCTAAATCAGATGTGAACAGAAGTACAAAATGTTCAACTTACAAGGCTTACAAAACCGAGACCAGGTTATTATCTGGTTGACTGAACTTCATTAACTGCTTCCGGAATTGATAAATATTTCATATTATCACCATTATTATTGGCACATTATTATGTATTGCTAATCTTGGCGACGCTTCTTCACATTTACATCTACATATTTATACATTTCAATGTGTACCTTGATATGCTAACTTGATCATTGACATGTTAAAAGCGTTTACCTTTTTTTTCTTGCTTGTCTTGTACAAAGGTTATTAAACCATTTCTACAGTTTGCGACATTTTTTTGACACTTATGATTCCAATGTGCTAATCATCTTCAATTTTAAATGATTAACATTGACTTTTGTTTAACCTGCGTTTACTTGGTTAAGTTGCTTTCAATGGTTCGTTTGTCCAGCTAAATGTTTAGGTTTAATCATTTGTGATTAACAGATGATACAAGGAGACAGCAGTTAAGTGGGTTCATTGTAATAATTGTGATTGTCTGGTGTTAATGGTTGGACAGTGATTGGTTATGGTTTCCCTTGGATTCTGGAGATTACCAGAAATTTTTGCCTTTTCTTTCTCCTTCTTTTGGGTTGAAACAGTTTAGGTTGGGTCTTCTAGTGGAAATTAAATTGCTCTTGATTAGTGCCTTGAATTAAGATCATTGCTGCGTGTCAATTGATTTTTCATCATTTTCTGACTAGAAATGATTATTCTTCTTCCTTTTTTTCCTTAGCTTTTTTGGGTGAAAAATAATGCTTTTAAGGACCAACCAGGTTGACTGTTTTTGACTCTGTTAGGGGCTAATATTTGAAGATAAATTGTCACCATTAAAATAATATCCATCTTGAATTTATGATGCATTCAATTTAATAATCTCATTACGATTGAAATAAAGTTAATACAATTGAGTTTAATGTAATGGTGAAAATTAGATAACAATTTAACTTTTCTCGCTTTTTTTGTTTGATATAAATTGTACCATTAAACTTTGCTTTCATATCAAAATGGTAACCATCAAAGTAAGAGCAAATTTAATTTAATGGCGATTCACTTGATTCCTTGTTATACACTTTGGTTACAGAGTCTTACCTATTACAATAATAAGGATGAGATACTCGACATTAAGAGTAAATCTAACAACACATTTCAAAATAGTCCGATAGAGAGGATCGTATAATAGGTGAGAAATAAAAATATTGGTTAATAATAAAGCTTAGAGCAAAGGTATTCGTTTTGATTATAAATCACGTTAATTTGCTAGTATTTAAACGTCTAATGGCGAATTGACTTGGACACTTTAATTTTGTTAGAAATTCATGGATTCTTTATTGAACAATTAAACATTGACAAGATAGCGTCAAAAATAAATCTTAGGTTTTCATAAACTGAATAATGAATATTTCAAAATGGAAACGAGATACGATAATGAAATTTGGTCCTCAGAAATAAGCTATGAATGAAATTATCGAGTGATCTTTTCATTGCACAGCTGAAATTTTTTAATATTTAATTTCCAATATTTTTTGCACTAAGCTTTATTAGTTATTTTTGAATAAATATAATTAAATAGTTAAGCAAATTATAATATGTAAACAGGGCTTAATGGTTCGATTACATGATATTATGTTCGTTACCAGGATTTACAACAATATGATAAACGAAAACGATAAACTGAATAATGGGAAAAGAGTGTTTCAAGAAAATCTCTCACAGAGATATTATATTGTTGGCTGATAATTTTGATTGCTGTTTAGGAATTTTCTTTCATATTCTATAATTGTATGCGTTAATACAGCTTTTAGCGGCAGAAATAAAAAGATAATCACATTAAATTATAATTTATAACAAAAATTAACTTCTTAGAGACGGAATTAGCTGTGATCAATGGATACAGTATTGCCACCTAGTGTCACCCAAGTCAACTCTTTGGTAATGTAAAATTTTTGGCAATTTTTAATTGTTGGTTGTACATTGTTTTGTGCTGTATTTCATCTATTAAAGATTGATTTTATTTGAGTAGGCTATGAGCTACTCCAACTTACAACATTTACTGTTGATAAATTTTGAATATACTCAATTTAATAAGAACAATAACAAATTGAACAAACATAAAAACAAAAAACTTAAAATTAAATAATCTGACCATATAAAAACAATATCAAAGACAGTTAACAAATGATCCACGTTAAGTATTGGATAAGAGATACAAGTAATGATTATGGGAATAAGGGAATTGTATGATATATGGAAATTTTCAACAAGAATAATCATATTTGCGATGGAACACTTAAAACTGATTGGTGAACGATTGTCTACCAATCTATGTTATTAATCAGATTAAAACATTGATTAAGGATAGGTTGAGGAAAGGATTGAACAGGGAAGATGTGTAATTAACTTAGCCTGATCGTGGTGATGCCTTTTGTTCAACTGATTTCTAGAAGTTTTTGTTTTGATTTAAGTCTGGGAGTGAGGAGATTTCAAAACAATGGTGTGAAAGCTTTGAGTCCTTTGGGTACAAGGTTTTGATTTTTTGATTGTCTTTCAGATTCCATAGTGTTTCAGCCATAAAACTAGATAACTAAGTTGTTGAAAAAGTCTTCTGGTAAACATAGGAATGCTTTGGTTTCTTCGATATTACTTGGGGCAACATGATTTGGTGGTAACAGTTTCGTTTTACGGACAAAGGCGTAAACATTAAAAATCATCCAATGGTAGACGTTTTTTAAGAGCGCTCTTTATGAACAATTGAATTAAATGAAGCTAATTAAGGCCCCAGGCCGACCTAAGCCCACCCTAACCTTACCAAACCTAACCTAACCGAACCTAACCTAACCTGACCGACCAACCAACAGCCCCTTGATCTAACTTACCTAACCAAAAAATCATATGTTTTAATGTTCACGCCTTTGTCCGTAAAACGAAACTGTTACCGATTTGGTATATGCTTGAAATTACTCATAGATTGATATCTATGGTCGAGAAAGACATTTTTCACTGATTCCATTAACTTTTGATTAGTTTTAAAGGCAACATCGTGATTGATTATTGGCTCAGGATAGTCAACTCCAATAATACAATTTGCTTCTTTTTGAACTTCAATAGGTGCTGATGATGGATTGAAAATGTATTTTGTTGGCATTTTGGTTAGTTCGGGAACATATTTACGAATATAATTACCGGTAGGTTCAAGCCATCGGCCATACATGATGGGTGAAATACAGGCATCTGATTGAAGGATAGTGTCAAAGGCTGAAGATGATACCCACATCCAGTTACCAGCACAAACAGACCAGTCAGCATCAATCAAATATTTCAAGAATACTTTAAGACCATGTTCCCATGATAGCCAAAGATCACCTCGAGTCAAGAAACAAGCAACAGCATTTCGTACAGCATGATGAATCCAACCTTCAAAGATTAACTGTCGCATCGCGGCGTCAATAAATGGATAACCAGTTTTACCAGTTGACCAAGCCTGTAGAAAATAAAGAAATTTCATCAGTTAATGAATCAATACTATTAGAAATAAAAACAATAATAGCTTCAAGATTTAGTTAAAGCAAGTTGTACATCCATCTTTGATCTTTAATAACTCGTGAAGCTAAGATAATCAATTCTAGCAATTTTCAAATTAAAGACAAGTTTAACAGGGAAAACTAATCTTCTTTCTATCTGCTGAATGTTTCAAAATTTCGTACAATTAAGGCTAAAATGGTTATAATTATGTTTACAGTTCAAGACTTACAAAACTCTTTGGGATAGCTTAAAAGGCGCCATTCAATAAACCTTTTTAAAGGCCATCTATCGCCGAAAGAACTAACTATCTAAACCAGATAAAATTAAATAAGTCTTGAAAATCTAATGATTACACAAATTAATTTTGATTGAGTGGCTGTAAATGGATTATTTTAATCTCTAGTCGACTATTGTTTAACGAATTTCCAAATACAATTATTTGCAATTGGAATTATGGTTTACTTAAAAGTTAATGCTAACCTCGAGTGCTGCTGAGTCTTGTTTCCATTTGATCTGAAGACAGACTGGATTATTAGCCATTTGTCCATAACATGGATTATTTACTGACATGGTATAGAAAAATTCACGCCAAATCAACTGTCCAACAATCCGAGGTTTAACGGAATTACCAAAGATGGATTCATACAAATCATGTAAATCCCAATAAAATTTTCGCACTGATAGACACCCATGTCTTAAAGCAGGACTCAATGATTTATCTGTAATAGTTATGTCAGGAGTTGATTGGGTTGGAAGATAATCACCAACTTTAAAAGCACTTTTCTCCAAACTAAGACGATCAGCCAATAACTCCATTGAGATTGTTTCACCACCAAACCAGACTTGATTAATTTGCTTCTCAGATTCCATCTTTACTCCCAAAACCAATGGTGATGAAGGAACTCCAGCAGTATCTTCGCAATAATCATCTTTAAACAAAAATATGAAATAAATTAACACTTCTATCGAAATAAATTGAATAGATTGATAAGATATTAAAATAACATTACCCAAAGGAAATATAGTTTTAAGTTGAGTGAAATCTGGTTTAGGCAAAGGTCGATCTGGTTGACCAATTACGTTTACAGTGTGACAAAACATTTCATAATTGGACGGAGCTTCGCCTCCATTCATGTCAATCACTTTCTCCGGATCCCAAAGTGTATGAGAAATTTTTTCAATGATCTCAACTCCCAATGAATTAGCCAATTGTTTAACCAAATCATCTCTTTCCTTCCAAATAGGCTCAGGATCTTGTTCAAAGCTGATATGAGTTATTGACCATTTTTTGATCAAACTTTCCAAGATTTGAACACAATTCCCGTGGAAACAAATCAAACGGCCTCCAAATGATTTAAATTGTGTATCTAAATCAGCTAAGCAGTCAAGCAAGTAACGAGTTCGATTGAATCCAGCCTGTTTTAGGCCAGCAGTGAATCCATCAAATATAAATATCGGATAAATTTTTTGGCAAACCTGTTCATTTGATGAAGGAAGATAAATCAAGTTAGAAAAATGAAATACAATAATTTTGTAGATTAAATTAAATGTGAAAATAATTAAGTTGAATAATTTTTGGATGTTTATATCATTCAGTTATCAAATGTAGATGGAAAAAATTATTCAGTTGTGACAACTTGTTGATCCTTGAAGTTATTTACAGCTAGTAAACCGTAAACATGTTTAGTTATTACAGACTTGAGTCTTGCTGGGAGTAAATTTTATAATAAAAAGATTCTTACAACTATTAAATTATACAATTGAGAATAATTTTCAATTAAATCAAAATGACAAACAAACTCACGTTGATTGTCGTGAATAGGAGCCAATCACAACAATAGGAATACAATTTAGTCACGTTTGTATCTATTGTAATCAAAATGAAACAAAATATTCTGGAAACTTCTCTGGTTTTCAACCTTAACAATAACCTAAATTAATAAGCAGCAACACTTCTGTTTAAAAAAATTGGCTTTTCCTGAATAAATTCCTGAATTTCCTGAATTTAAACGAAAATTTTGGGTCCAATTAAATTGTACGACAAACTACAAACAACCAAGTTAATTTTACCGTTTTAACTTTTGTTTTATTAACAATATCTCAAGCAAGTTAATAAGTTGAAATGAAATTTTGTCTTACCTTTGCAGCTTGATAAAGTGAAGGCATATCGCTTAGTCGAAGTCCATGGCGAAACCAATGAATACAGTTGAACGTTGGCTTACTTGACATTGTACAGTAACTTGATTTAAACTTGTTTCAAATTCAATTTAATTTGTTCTTTGATTAACTTTTCAAATTTGGTTGTGTGTTAATGTTGTGTTGAGGATTTATTTACTTGAGTTAATGATGAAACTAGCCATGTTTAAGTAGTAATTGAGCTGGGAGTAAAATCCTTGTAAGTTTATTTTTGCTCCTTCCAAGTGATCAAGCGCAATTGAATATCATCTTGTAAACAGGGAAAGGTATTATGATTATGTTTAGGTAAAGTCCATTTGGGTAAGAACATGAACGATGACGATGAGCCAGAATCATTTTATCTCCGAACTTCACAGCTGAAAGTCAATGGATTACCAATTTTCTACATCACATTATTTTTTAAGAGAACCACAATAATTCAAATTGAGTTAAATTGTTTTCAACATTTGTTGGTATTTTTTCCTTAACCTCGAGGGTATTAGGATCTATTATATGTTCCTTGAGTCAATACACTGGTCTTTACACAGAAGGTTATTGTGGATAAGCTGTTCAAAGGTTTGGTGCTTTTCACTGCGTAGGTTGATGTAACAAATAATGGATCAAATTTTGTTGTTTGATTCATTGGAAATCTAGCAATTAATAAATCAAATCTTCACAATAACCAAATTCAGTTTAAAAAAAATACGTGAAATATTAATATAAGACTAATATATCAAATAATTATAGATTACTCGAAATATTTGGGAACAAACAAACACAGAATCTCCAGAAACAAATTGTCCATTGACGGTTAATCAAAACCACGACTATCAGCAAAAATGTCAACACAATTGACTAAATCAGTTGGAATTTAATTCACTCGATAAAAGATTAGAAAAAATAATCAGGGAAATTTCAAGATAGTATAATCAAAACTTTTACTGTAATTGTTGAAATATTAATAAATAATAAATAAACAAAACCGTTGAGTCAAATTATGAAGTGGTTATAAAATGAAATACAAGATGGAGCCACAAGAAGAAATTAAAGAAAAATTAACTTGAAATCAAAAACAGAACCTTATTTACGTTTTTGTAAACAAATTGAAGATTAATGTTTTCATTTGATTTTGGCTGTAACTAATTTTTTCCCAGGTAAGTTAATTTTATTTGATATCTTAATTTATTTCCATTACCCTTTCATCTTCAATCGTCTATAGTGAAATAAAATTTAAATTAAGTGAAATTTACTCAACAAGATGGCGTATAAACTCATGGAGATGAACATGTTTCACTTTGATAAAAGTTTCGGAATCTTCTCTGTCTACTTGAATTGTTCTTCCTTTCTCTTCTTCGCTTTCTTTTTCTCTCTCCTGTCGACTGTGTCCTCCATGTTTTCCTAGGTCATCATCATCATCCTCTTGATCCTCATCATCCATATCATCATCTTTATCATCCTCCTCATCAGCATCATCCTTGTCATCCTAATGATCATGAAGAAGAGGGCGCTGTCTGAACATCGTTTTCATCATCATCCTGATCATCATAATGAAGATGATGATGATGGTGATGATAAGGATGATAAGGATGATGTAATAATAATTGGAAACTACAGTTTCTACATCGACAAATGGCAACGTCAATTTACCTGAACCTGAATAAACTAATCTGGTTTCCATTGCAAAAGCGACAGTTAAGTAAATTGTATTTTTATCGCACTCAATTTAAATTACCATCGTTGATTGGTTTGGGTGCGAAAAATGGACAATGTTTGTTAAAAGGTCATCATTGGTAAATTGTGACTTGTACATTGTCTTTTGATTAGATTGTGATAAACATGACAAACAAATGTGTAGACAATTTTTTTCCCTCAACAATTTATTTATATCTTGATTGAATCGTCAATTTCATTAGGTTATTAAAAGCAAAATCCTTACGATGATTGATTTAACAATCTTATCCTTGATTTAGTTAATAATCATCTTTAAATTATTGGATGGACCAGTGATAATGTTTTAAACAATCAAACGAGTAAATGATTTACATTGTTACATTGACATTTGAAAAGTCATTTACAAGGTTAATCAAAGGTTGTTGGACCAATTTTATTTGATAAAAGTTAAATTGTCCATCTTGAAACAGGTTAACATAATCAATTTAAAGAATCAATTTTAACTTGAAATTACCAACAATGTAACCTAATTATGGTTAACACAATGAAAACCCAATATTTAGTTAGCTGATAAATTGGATAATCAAATAAGAATGGTAAATACGATCAACGTTTAAGTGTTATTAAATTGCAAACAATCTATTAGACAAAATTAATTTACATTTTCTAATTCAAAAAGAATAATAAAATTGGGTAATTTTTTCGATATTTGGGTTCATTTTTGGGTTCAATTTCGGGTTCAATTTTGGGTTCTTTTAGTTGGTTAGCAAGTGTCTGGTCATTAATTGTAGACAATTATTAAACTGGAAAAGTTGAAAGCTTTTGATTAGCAAATGAAATACTGAAACTTATATTTCATCTTTAATCCAAATGATCAGGCGCAATTGAATATTAGACTAAAGTTAATAGCATGTGGATGATGAAGATGATGAAGATGAAATGATGCTGGAAGAGGTAAAAGTCTGTGGAAAGTAAAATGAGATGAAAATGGCTTGAAGATGAAGATCAAGTAATGAGTTTATCATGTAAAACTTGAATCATCTTCAACTTGTTATTCATTTTTGTTTTGGTCTTTTTTTGGTCTAAAAATAAATTGTATCTAAACTTGTTGGACGAAGAGCTGAGAATCAGTTAATTAAAAACTAATTGTTATGGATTTTCATCTAAAAATGATTAAATCATAAAGACCGGGCAATTTTTCATTGGTCTCATTTGTTTTTAGCATTTCTTAGCTTTTCAATAGTTTTGCTTTCGATGAAACTTTTTTTTAATTTCATGTTCAATTTTAGTTTACTTTTGACTCCAATGGCATGGTAAGATGATTAAGCCGGTCAGGTTTAGGATTCTTTAAGAGAATTATCTTTTTAATTGTTAAAACGCTTAAACGCGGCGGAGTTTAGGTTTAGTGTTTGGAGCTGCATTTTCATTTCTGATTCTGAGTTTTGATGATTATTCAATTGACGTTTCTGTGATTCTTTTCTGGATTAGTTCATTTTCTGGTAAATTTGGGTAATTTTATTAAATCGTATTGAATCAGAAAGTAGAGTTGGTTAAAGTGATGAAATGATAATCTTCAAGTCAGAGTTCAATATTAAACTTGAAGCACAAACGCTAAGTTGTTTATTATTTATCGAGAGAAATTCAAAACTGGCATTTCGACCCTGGAAAGGGAAAAAATCGTTCAGCGAAAGAGGAAAAAGAGGAAATGGCGAAAGAGGGAAAAGATAAGACCCTGTAGACAGAGGAAGAGAGAGAGAGCCAAAGTCTGAGAAGAAGAAGATGATGATGATGATGATGATGATCAAAGGAAGATAAAGAGAGAAAAGTTCATCTGGTCGAAAGGCAGTTTTACTTCTGTCGATTTTGACGAGAGAGTCTTTCGGCAAAGAAGATCAGCCGCTCACCCGATGCCATTTGCCTCTCGCCTTTCCTTCTCTTCTCTTTCTTTTCCCTCTCTTTCCCTCTCTTATTCCAGCCTTTCGCTTGTCTTCTCTTTCTTTCTATCTTCTCTTTCTGCCACTTTTTTTCTATTCTTTTTTTCGTCTCTTCATTTTCTCGTTTTAATTGTTAAAAATTCAATTTATTTATTGTCCTTTATTAATTTGAATACCATGATGAGTGGATTTACACCTTTAGGAATCAATCAATCTAAATAATATTAACGGTAATTATAAATAACAATTTTTAATCTATCTTCTTCAATGAAGAGTTAATTTGAAGAGTAATGTATAACTCTCTTTCTCTTTCTCTATCTCTCTCTTTCTTTCTCTTCTCTTTCTCTTCTCTCTTTTCTCCTCTCTTATCCTCTTTCTTTGGATCTTTGGATAGGCTTGTGTATATAACCGGCAATCTACGTACAGATATATACGGAAAGTCCTCATTTTGATCTCACCAGCCATCTTCAACATTTACAATTCCATTTCATTATTGGCCTGTTCATCAGGTTTTCTTGTTTAATTTTGTTGGAAACTTAATCAACTCTAAAGTGATCATAAAAACCATACAATTGGCTCTTTCCATTATCCAGCTGATATCAGCTTTAAAATTGATTTGTAAAATACTTAGTAATTATTCTGCTGTTAATACAAATCAGAATCACTCCAAGTGTATAAATTATCCATTTTTGTTTGTTGACCAATTTTTTGACCCTGACCTCTGCCGAGGTGTGTTACTAGGTGAGCTTTCCTTTTCAAATTACACCTTTGATGTGTCTTCCAATAATGTCTCATAATGTCCTCTCTTTTTCTGTTTCCTCCATAGTTTCTAAGGTTTTGTGAAAGATGGTTCAAATGGAAGAAAAAACAGAAACTACAGATAGAGCTGAAAAGGCTGAGAAGCCCGATAAGCCTAAGAAACAACCTAAAGAGGTTAAAATTGAAGAGACAGATATTCCGGACGAAGAAACCGGTTTTCCTGGTTGCATGAGAGGCCATGTTATTCGGGGTAAATTCATACCGATAAATAAGAAAACATGGATCGACATCGATATTGATGGCAACGATGCTATCTTGGACTGCGCCTCTCAAGTGGTACCGTTGATGATTAAAAAGCCTAATATTTTTCCGCCCAAATTGGCTGAACCCGAGGTTGTCAAAGGGCCCAGTGTTGCAGAAGAAGAGGAAAAGGAAGATGAAATCAAAGAGGAAGAGATTGAAGACACTGAGAAAAGTAAAGACGAAAAGAAAGATGAAACTGAAGAAGTGGTCATCGAATCAGACAATGAAGAAAAAAATGAGTCTCAACAGTCAACATCTACCACTGCAGTTGGAGCAAATCAACAAACACAGCCTGGTCAACAATCAACTCAAGCAGGACAAAGTAACAACCAGCAAGAGACCAATAATTTAACGATGCTCACTATTTCAGATTATTATAAATCTTCAGTTGGAAATTTATTAATGGGTATCGGTTTGAGCCGATCCAAAGAGTGGTACCATAAAGATGTTATTAGACAATTACACAGATCGATTAGAAAACAAGGAGAACTTGATGATCTCGTGGAAGAATTGAAGAGACAACAACAATTATATAATGAGTGTAAAGCTGCTAACAGTATATTCACTTTCCCATTGAAAAAGTGTCATATGTGTGATTTTAAAACTGAATCTGATGTTGCAATGGAAGGACATCTTAATATACCACATTTAAGTAACAGAAAAGAATACAGATGTAATTTTTGTGTTTTTGCGACCCGTGATACACAGTCAATTGTGTCTCACTTTAAGGATACTCATAATCGTTCGTGCATCTTAGAACCACCACCACTGTTAAACTCTTGTCCTATCTGTCCCTATGAATCGAGTCAAAAAGCTAAAGCCGCTACTCACATAGCTAAATGTATGAAATTTTTCCATCCTGACAAGGTTCAACATCTCCCCGATCCTGAATCCGAGTATCCTGCAATAACTCCTAAACCCATCACCCAAGAGGATATTAAAGTTTATGATGCTACTTTGATAGCTTTGAGAGCAGCAGCTCTTTCATCTAATACCCAATTACCAAATTTACCTGGCCTACCGAGAGGTCTTCAACACCAAATGCTAATGATGCAGCAACAACAAGTGGCACTTCAAAGCAAAGCTATGAAAGCCAACAGAGTTATTCCAGGAATAAAGGCTAATCCCGCAGCATTACGAAACGCAGCTAATTATGATATTACATCAAATCCTAATTTTGCTAAATCTAATGCTCCTCAATTGTATCATATGTTACAAGCCGGTGGTCACACTCAATTGGTACCTGTACAGCAAAGCAAATATCCACAAGGAGTTAACTCAACCACCCATTTACAGGCAGTCAAAGGTCGAGTTATACCTGGCTCGGGTGGCGCATTGTTACAAAAAAGTCCAGCCGGTATGAGGCCTAATAGTACAGATAGTATTGATTCTCCGGCTGGTGGTAAAGGAGGAACTTTTGTAATTTGTGAGATTTGTGATGGATATATCAAAGATCTGGAGCAACTAAGAACTCATATGCAGTGGATACATAAAGTGAGTTATCTTGTTTGTTTCGCTTTTTATCGTTCAAGATAAAGTATTTAATTATTTTAAATCTTTTTGATTAGGTTAAAATTCATCCAAAGATGTTGGCAAGTCGCCCTCCGCTTAACTGTCAAAAATGTCAATGGAGATTCTTTACAGACCAAGGATTAGAAAGGCATTTGCTAGGAGCTCATGGATTAGTTACATCGAACATGCAAGACATGGTTGATCAAAATCAAGATGGTGGTCGATGCACCATCTGTGGCCGTATATCTGCCAACAAACTAGTGGCTCATATGAACCAGGTTAGTAGCAAAACCATGATTTGATTACATTCTATCCGAATAGAATAATCGAATGATATATTCATTCTGTTTTAAGCCTCTTGACTCATACCTTTTCTTTACTGATTCATTCTTTTTTCAGGTACACAAGATCACTTTAAGGCCTGCTTTACTATCCTACAAGTGTACAGTATGTTCAGCGACCTTCAACTTATATCGATTATTTGAAAACCATGTCTACATGGTTCACAGTGGATCAGTTAAAAGGAATCTTGAAGATTCTAACCAATCGCTAGTTAAGAAACAAAAAACTGGAATTAATGGATCCGAATGTCATATGAAAAATTAATTAAATAATTTCTCATTTCCTTTAAATTTCACTATTCCTTTATCGCTTTCTTTCTCTCTATTTCTCGTCTCTTCGCTCTTGTCTCTCACAAACTCACAACATACATACAAAACACATTTTCTACCCACCTTTCACCCTAATTTGTCTCAAATTGTCCCTTTCCACACACATTCACATTAAATGACAAACCGATATTTATATATAACATAAAATAACACAAAAGTCTCGTTTATATTACTCGTTTATAATAATTACTTATTTTTACAGATTTTATTTCATTTTTTTTCATAATTTTCTATCTTCATTCATCCGGACAGCAACCAATAGCTTCGCGTTTACTTTGATGGCAATCATCATTTTCTTTCTCATCTTCATCGGAGGATGATGATGAAGATTCTTCACTCGATCGATCGCTGCTTTTTTCATCTTTACCAACATCCAAAGCGCTTGCCTCCTTAGATAATCCTGTAACATTATTTTCATCACCATCAGCTTCATCCCCATCTTTACAATTTTGTGTGCTCTTCCTTTTTACATCATCAATCTCCTTAACAGGAAAAGAAGCTCTCGTGTACGATTTAATCAAACTATTGACCGACCGATTGTCTGATTTAGTTTCCTTCAGTTTAACATTGAAAAATTGACCAGATTGTTGTACTGTCGATGAACCTGATGAACATTTAAGTGATGGCTTCAAGATTGAAATCGGAGGCTTATCTCTATTAACCAAGTTAATATGAGCAGAATCGTTTTTGGAGCAAATTGGTTTATTTTTAGATTTTAATTCTGACAACAGCGATAAGTGATGATGGTTATTGTTGTTTGCAATATTCTTGTTGTTAGAGACTTCTGATTCACCAGTTTTCTGTCTCGTCCGTAATTCCTTGATTATTGATAAGTTAACTCGAGGATCACCCGGCATCAACATTTTCCTAGGATCAATTAAATTAGGCGATGAACGAGATCGAGATACTTTATCAGCCCACAATGGACTTAGTTTATTATTGTTTGTCCTGCTAAAGTCATCATTTTTTGAACTTTTATCTTCTTGGCCTTTCTCCGTTTCCTCTGCATTAGCTTCAAATTGGCTTGTTTTTCTATTCAATATACTTTGGTCTGATATTGGAGCTCGAGAAAAGGCCTCATCAAAGAAGCTTGTATCACCAAAAGTTTGTCTTTTGAACGTTATCGAAGTACTTTGAAAAAATGTATCAAGTCCACTATCAAGCAAACTGGCATCACTTGATTTTCCTGATAAATCGGTTGGCTTTTTTTCATCTGTTGCTGTTAAATCTTCTTCCCTTATTACTGGTCTCAGTCGACTTGGGACTTTACGATTGCACCTTTTTGGCCTGGATTTAATCATGTCCAGCAATGTTTTATCACTTTTAAGTTCGTCACTTAATCGATTTTCTTTGTTTTCACTTTGATCGCTGTTAATCCAAGGTTCACTTTTGCCCTCACTATTCAACTTTTCTTGATTAACTTCCATTGCACTGTTACTCTGATGGGTAAACAACAAACAACACTTAAAATGTTAACAATCTTTAACAAATTGGTTGTTTGATTATGGTGTTTGGAAACAATACTGATTACAGTGGAATGATTATCTGGTCATGTTCATTCAACAAAATCAATTAACCACTGGAATATGAAGTCAACTTTACTTTTTGATGGTTAAAGGGATTTCTTTTTATCTCCTTGTTTCTCTCAACTCTCGATCTGGCAAGTTTACAAGACGTTCAAATCCAATGAGAGCACAAACGGAAGAAAAAAAATAAGTTACTGTTTCTGCTGATGATGATAATGATGATGCTATAGCTGATGGTTATGTTGCTGGTTTAATAATGAATGAAGAAACTTGTTGATAAAGCGTCTAAAGGATGAGGAATGTTCCAATATTTTTCAGTTTCTTTTCTAATTCAACAAGTTTTTTGACTTCTTTTCGTCAGATGAAAATGAGAAACATTTACTGATGATGTAAATGATGTTGAACTATTCATTTGGCTTTTTAATGTTATCTGCTGTTAACCTGGAAAAGGAGAGAAACAACCCAAAAATAAGAACCGATTACATCAAAATGGATAACAACAAAAAAAGAAGAGTTCGAAGGCAAAAGATGATCACACTTGTTGAATTATCGTTTATGTTAAAACATTATTTAAATTGTAATACTTGGTAAGTTGTTTGACTGACAAAAGATGATTAAAAAAAGAGCAACTCAAATGAGGCCAACAAGTGATGAAGTTAACACTGGAAAGGACACAAGTTGCACTGAAAGTTTGTCACAAGGAATAAACCTTCAACTTTTGAATTGTGTTTATTGAAAGATTGAACCAGATTTTGACCAGGAAAAGCCCATTGAGTTGTATCATGTGTTGATCAAGTTGAAGGTACAATTATCTTGAAACTGATGGAAACCAAGGAGTTGAACAAGAATAAAAAAGATGCTAAAGACGATGGATAATGATGATGATTTTTGATGATGGTGAGGGAGAAAGGGCCAAAACTCACTTGAGAAGCAATTGGTTATAATTGTTTACTTCAACTTACTGGTTAACTCATAAAAAGCTGGGCAACTACAATTTAGGATTGATTGAGTTGAATTGTTAACTATTCAAAGCCAAGATTTATTATGACCGTTATAAGGAGAAATGTTAAATGAAGAAGCTGATGGTGATGATGATGATGATGATGGAAAAGATTAGAATAGAGAAAGAAAGAGAAAGAAAGAGAGGGAAACAAGGAAGAAAAAAGAAGGAACCAAAAAAAATAGAGAGAAGATGAAGAAGAAAATGTCCATCATGATCAAGCAAAACAATTTGTTGATAACATTTTCATTCTTTATTCTTGATTTTTATTCCATTTTCTCAATCATCAAATCATTTGTTCAATTGTTCAAAGTCTATTTTACTTTCAACTTTTAGTTTTTCCTCTTGCAGCTTTGCTCCAACTTTACATCAACTTTTCCATCTTCATCTCCTTATACTTATCCTGATTTATTTTAATTTATTGTTGATTTACAAAAGTTTACATCAAAAGGTTGACCTGTAAATGAAGAGAATCACTTTTTGTTTTACTTCATCTTTTCATCTTCATTTATCTTACTAGAATGTAACAAAAATTCATTTTCATCATCTTTTAAATTGTTGATGCAATTTTTAGGTACCATAACCAGTTTTTTGTTTTGATCATACAATAAGGTTTAAAGACGTTTCTGTCAAAAGCTGATGGACTTTGCTTTTGTCAACAAGCCAAATTAATGCAATTTAACGGAAAATGGCTGCTAATTTAATCTAAACTGATCTTTGCTTTGAAAATAACTAAATCAAATTGTAAAATAATCAGTCATAATGAATATTTTGACTGGTTACAAATGGCTTGACTGTTAGCATTGACAGTCAAAGTCAGGCTTTTTTGTTGAAACAAACAAAAGCGTTAATGATTAGCACTTTACTGTTTGATTAGTTGATTAGATTTCTCTGAATCATCATTACTCTCAAATTCAAACAATTTAAATGCATCAAAAAGCGTATACTTTTGTCAAAGGTAATTTTGTAAATTAGAATCAAATTACCGGCGAACAAAAATGAAAATTCATTTCATTAATGCCTTATTCCTTCTGTATTCCTAATATATTCCTGATTGTTTAACCTGAATCTAAACACTGGAAACAACTGGTTACTTTGATTACCATTTGACTACAATTAGTTAACATTGAATGATTTAACCTAAAAAAGGGAAACCCAAGAAACACCATTGAATAACGATCTAAGCCTAACCAAGAAACTTGACTGCTATTGTAAGCCTGAAGCCTGTTCGTTCATCGAAAGGGCCACCGAAATTCAATGGATGAAATGGAAAGAAAGTGGAAAGAGAAAGAGAAGAAATGATGATAATGATGATGACGAAGATGATGATGATGAACAAGAGCTGAGTTGGAGTCTCTCTCTGATTGGCTCATGTCTGCATGGATGATAGGGGAAACAGTTGAAGCCAAGGGCTGAACCTTTCCTCTTCTCTTCATCACAGGCTCTTTAGGTTTCTCTTTCTTCCATATCATCCAAAGTCTATCTTCTCTGTCTATCTTTCTCTTGCTCTTTTAACGATTTGTATTCTGGATGAAAAGATGATGAGAGAGGGAAAGAGAGAGAACAAAGAGAGCCAAACACGGCGCCATTTTGTCGAAGCCAACTTATCATCTTTTATCATCCTTATCTTCATTTCCATCTTCAGTTTCATCTTCATTTATCGTCATAACCATCATCTTCCTCTGAATACGTCGTAATTTGTTCTTGCGCTTTTCTGGTAATTCATTTCTGTAGTTAACCCAAACATTTACCCTTTCGGTTTCATCTAAATGTCAATTTAATTACCTTATTGATTTACTTGGATTCATGACAGTTGATTGACAAAAATTAGGTTTCACCAACGAATACTGGACTTAAACCCATTGAGCACAAATAGAACAGAAAAAAACCTAAAAAGTTAACCAGATTTGTTTGATACCCATTTTTTGGGTTAACTGCTTTCAATAATGAAATGAAATGCGTTTGGTTGCTTAATAAGATTGTAATGTAGCAATAAAAATGAGGAATTAATAAATTGATGGCAAAAATATTTTAACAGTAATTGAGGGTTAAATTGTATTGAGACATTTTGAATACAGCTTGATACATGAGAAATGACGAGCAATTGTTTGACATTTACATGTAAATCATTAAGAAACCTAACCAACCCTTTGATTTTTTACCTTCTTTATATTCGTTCTTGTTTCTCTTCCCACTTTTATCTTCTCCTTTTTTTTCTCTCTCTCTCTTTCTCTCTATTCCTTAACAACTCATCTTATATACATTTTGACCTCACCGAGGTCATCTCAAGATGATTACATGTATACTTGAGGTAGGCTCATGCGTCAAATGATTTTACAAGCTTCAGGGCATTTCATGGCCCAGGTAATTCATAAATCCGATGATAAACAGAGAAATGTTAAACAGGAAAAATGTTCATCTTAACTCCAATTGCACACTTTTAAAGTTAACCTGAGCAATCTATTGAAGCTGCATGTGCTTTTCAAGTCAATTGTTGTAAAATCTCGTAACATTGTTAACCTGATTAAGCATCAAAATGGCGGACTCTGATCATTCCTAAAACTTGCTTGGTAACTCAGACCTATGATCGGCCTTGAATCTAGTTTCAGTACAGTTTCATTATCTTATACGAACGAGTTGTTATGTTTTTGTTTTCAAGGTTGTAGAGTTAATTATTTCATTCCTATTCATCTCTAATCATCATGTTATCTTTGAAAATTTTAATTGCAAAACTTCGCATATAAACCTAATGTTAAGACAATCTTGCAATAAATCAACCTCTAGTCATCACTTTAATCAACTTCTAGCTTTGTTTTCTTGATTTTGCCTTGGATTGTTACTTGAATAATACTCACCAATGATCTTGTTTTGATTGGTCACTCGAAAGATATCAGTTGATCACTTTTTACATTTAGTTGCACTCAATTTACTGACACTTTTGAAAGTTGATGAGCTTGATTAATTAATAAAACTGAACAATTGTTGATCATTGTTAATGTTTCTTGCCTTTTTAATGTTTACAGTCTAATAAATTTTCCCTCACAGCGTATAGTCATAATTAGGTTTCCTTCAGTGTTTTCCTTGTCTAAATATGATTAGTTGATCTCCTTTTACGATCATATTTCCTTCCAATTTCTCATCCTGAATGAGCAATTTACTCCAGTCTCAAATTAGTTCTTATAGCAAGGCATATCTTTAATTTCTCGCTTTTACTCTGTTTACAGAACCGTTCAACAAAACCTTACTAGGTGAGTTGAAAACATGGTGTTTGATTTAATTTCATCCGGCAAGTATGAATATGTGAAGAGTTTGATAAACCAACAGGATCATTAATGAATCCGGAGATCTTTAATAGGTACAGCAAGAGTATCTTATAGAGGATAATTTGCGTGACTAGATACTATTCAGCACACTGTACCAATAAAAGGTGATTGGAAAAAATAGTTTCCAGCAATAATCATTAAATTATAAACTTTAACTGATGTAGACGAAATAATCTTTAAATTTTATTCAATGGTTGAGGCCGCCATTCAGACCAGTCAACAAAACATCCTTTGGTTTTAAGATACGTGTCCCTTGAAATGGCTCTCATTGCAACAACATCAGTAGACCCAAAAATTGATGCACCAAGCCACGCAATGTAATTCTCTTTGCAAAGAGGAGGATGAAACATAAATTTGTCAATATAAATGTTATTTGAATATTTTTCAATCTTTTTCACTAAAAATAACAGCTCCATTTTTAATCTATGCTTGAATCCAGGTAACATTGAGGTGCCGCCGGTAATAATCAAGTTGGAGGCCAGTGTTTTACGATAATCAATCGGACAGGACAATAAAACTTCTAAAATTAGAGTTGCTACAGTCTCTTCCTCGCCATACAGCTCAAATAAAATTTCACCAGCACTTTCTCGTAAGCCTCCTGGAATGAGTAGAGTATTATTTTGGTCAACATGAAAATAGACATCTTTTGGTGTATTATCTGGAGCTTCTTTCAATCCTGCTTTATGCTCCAACATTAACTGGCCACGTTCGAAAGGAGCAATAAAACATGTCTTGACTTTAATATTTTCTAGAACAAAATCATCAAAACGATCTGACTCTTCATATACTTTTTCTACACCATTTTTCCTTAAAATTGCCTTCCTATCAATAAGCTCATCATGAATCCTTTCATTGATTGCTTTACCTCCTAATGGTGTATATTTGACAGAATTGACCAGCGTGATGCCTTCGATAACTGGTACTGCCATTGCTTCTTTCCATCCAATATCAAGAACAATTCCTGTCGAGACCATGTACGGTACAAGAGTCATTAAATGGTGAGGTACTATTAGAAGGGATGGAACTTCAAAATGTTGATAAAGAACATTTATCAGGGATTGTCGAACATTGTTTTGAGTAAATAAGGTTTCGATGAGGATCACTTTGCGTTCTTTATAATTGACACCAAGATATCTAAAGTAAATTGTCTGGATAATTGTTTTGAAAGCTTGGTCCAACTGACTTCCAGATAGACTGGCTAACTCAACTTCTTTTCCATGTGACGATGCGACAACAGATCTGATGATTGCCCGAGGAGCCAACTCTTGAACAAATCCACACTTTGTATATCTATGGCCAAACTCCAGGATCACACTATGTTTATCTGTCATGATTCAGACTGTTAACTATAAGAATTCAATTAAAAACATGTCGATCAAAAAACAATCACAATCATCACAATAACATATGATTCAATAAAAATATTTCCTCAGTCTCCTAAAAGCGCCATCTGCCGTTTCTTTAGATCTCTTTGATAAATTGATAATAATAATTGATCTAAAAATATAAAATCTTCATTAATTAATCAAATTCATTGCCAAAAACATTTTTTTGGTTTGAAATGTAATAACTTCTGATGCGAATCAATTTGTGAATTGTATATCGTTGTTTTTCATCTGTTATAATTCATCGCTGCAGTTGAATATTACTTTGTGATAATCACTTCAATAATAACTTAAAATTGGCTCGAAAGACATAAAAAATTAATGTATTGTAAATTTGAATAGTGTTGATTGTTCAATCAATTCATCAACTGTATTCAAAAATGAACTGAAAATATGAAGATACGAATTTCAAATTGAAAAAGGACGCAACGTATCTGATTGGCTAAATGCAAACACATGGAACTGGGCTATATTTCATTCCAAGCTCTACATTGTGATCCTCCACCTCAAAGGAGCTTCGTTTTTCCCTGATAATTTCAAACTTAAAATTGTATTTTTGTTTTTTATTTGATTCGTTATTTGACCAGTATTAATTTAAGATGTCCAGTTTATCATCCAATATTCATATTTTAACACCAGAGGATGAAATTTCCATCAGAAAATTGGAATGTCTCAAAGAGCTTCGGTAAGTTTTGTTTATATTCACTTCTAGTTTATATTTATTGCGATGAATGTTATTTTTGTTTATCTTTTAATTGATTTTTTATCATTGACTTACTCTCCAGTGATGTTACTTTGGAGCTGAGCAAAAAGAAAGCACGTTTACATAGTGCTTTGGAGGCCATGGATGAGGAGGCTAAATGTCTCGAGACATTCAAAAACGAGAAAGCTTTGATTGAGCAAGAAAGAGAAGCTCATTGTGCAGAATTGTTGTTGATTCGAGATGATCTCAATCAAATGGAATCAGTGATTCAAGAATCAGAAAGTGAGACGGATCATCATTTAGCTATGGCCAAAAGTTTAATTCTTGAATGGCAAAAACTTGCGGATCGTGCAAATAAAATACGATCAGCTCTTGGTCTTAATCAGCTTCCGAATCTCCCAGAAGAAGAAAAACTGAAAGAGGATATAATCAAAAGTACTGGAAGTGAAGACGGTGCTCATCATCATGCTATGGCATTTGAGCAGGACAACGCTTTCAAGCCTCTTTTAATGATTGCAAACCAACAACCAATGCAACAACAACCTTACTTATTCCCATCACCGACTTCGTCCAGCTCAAGAGATTTTCAATCTGTAGGACCTCATTCGCCTGGAATGGGGATGTCATCTTTAATGAATCCTCATCATGGCCCACCCTCTGGGTTAATGTCTTCAGGATCTTCGTCAAATTTAGTAGAAAGATCTCAAAATCGTTCTTCATTTTGCCAACAACCTCCTCCAATGAAATCGTGTCTCACTTGTTTCCAACAAATCCATCGAAATGCTCCAATCTGTCCTAACTGTAAGGCCAAAAGTAGATCTCGTAATCCAAAGAAACCTAAACGTAAACCAGAAGATTAATAGCATTAATCTGGCATGATCAAGCTCATCATTTTCATCTATTTCTTTTGTTCTTAAGTATTTTGAATACAAAAAAACCTTTTTTTCTGGCAAAAAATTCAAAATCAATTACATAAACTCAAGAAAATATTAATCATTTACTTTTGGAAAGACGATTTCATGATTCATTCAATCATCTCATCTCATCTGGTACAACAATCCCCATTGATAATGATTAGGGTAGCGACGATTGTTTCATTTCACATTCATGAACCATAACATAATTTAAATCCATCCTTTTTTTATTTTTCCTTTGTGGATTATCTGTAGAGATAAAATGACTTAATTAAATTTTCTTATACAACTCATAATGTATTGAGCAAAATATATCAAATAATCAATTTCAGTTGAACAGGATTTTGGGAATGAAGAAGTATCTCAATTAATGGACTTCTCAATTTAAGATTCCGGTTCATTTTGATTATCATAGATGACTTCATTATCGTCGATGAAGCATACCATTCAATGTTTTCCTCAGATGATCATAATCTTTGGTGATTTCGATTGTATGATAATCGTAAATACTGGGATTTAAGTTTTAAGTATTTGACTTTGAATTTCGTGATATTGAGTAGGTAATTTTAACAAGAATGGGCATATCAGATTCAATCAAAGATCTTTGACTTGGTGGACCCATAGCCCAAGCTGCTGTTGAATTAGTACTGGTATCAGTCCACATCCAGTCCATCATTAAACGCATATCATAAAGAAAAGGTACCAACATGTAAAGCATGAAGAGGGTCGAATTTACGAATGTGTACTTTTTGGTGAAACAATTACCCAGAATTCGAGTCGGGTAACCACTTTTAATTTGCCAGGCAGATAGAAGAAGATAAATTGATTTAAAAATGTACCACAGTTTAGGTGCATTATTGTCTGGGTCTGTAAAGGATCGACCAGTCATAGCGGGTAAAGCTATGAATAGGAAAATGTGCATTGCAAAAGAAATAACAATATGGAATATCAATCTCTTTTTGACATCTTTTCGGAGGTAAAGACCACGATCAATGATGATTAAACCAAATTGGAAAAGTAGCATGAATAGAAAAGGCATTGGAACTCGATTTTCTTGTAAATATGTTGTAATATCACCAACACCAGGACTAGTCTGTAATGAATAAATATAATTAGCAAGAATTATAATTGAAATGATTAAAAAAACAAAATTAGCTGCTTACTCCAAATGAACTGTAACCAAACCAAACAGTAAAAAAGTTAATGAAATCGCAGAAAAACATCATTGCATAATAATCTTTTGCTATTCGAAACGGTGGTGACAAAATTCGTGTGATGAACTGTCTGACAGGAGAAACAGTCGCCCAACATCTAATTTAAAAAGTTTAAAAGGCAAAAAGATGAATTAAGTTTTATTTTGTGAGCAAACATGAATAATTTTAAAAGCAAGTGGATCATCTTCAGAACTTACTTTTTCTGCATATTTTCACTTGCTTCAAGCAACTTTTGAACGATTTCAATTTCCTTATCATCTTGAGTCACAAAATTGGACAATGGTTCAACTTCTTGATATCTTTGAGTTTCATCAGAATAAGATAAATCCTCTATATTTCGTCTCCTTAGAATAGTTTCATTTTCTTTTATGGTATTTGCTACATGGACAGCGCCAAATAATGTTGGAGGTCAGAATGGATCATTGAGTGAAGGTTTTTAAAAAAGCCGCTTCATTTGTCTGTATTATGAACAATGTTTACATACGGATAAGATTTGATGAAAAAGCTTAACTTCATCACTGTTGATTTTCTTGTTATTGTTAGACTGTTTTTCAAGTCTATTAAATTTTTTTATTAATTTTAATTTTGATATTTTGATCCAATTTTCACGGTTGTGATTATTTGTTAAATTTATATACTTATTTTTGTGCAAATTGTAAATTAAATTTTCTAATAATGTCCGATTCTCAACGCGTTAGTCCTTTTAAAAACTTTGTTGCTGGTGGTTTTGGTGGTGTCTGTTTGGTCTTTGCTGGTCATCCTCTTGACACCGTAAAAGTGCGACTTCAGACTATGCCAAAACCAGCTCCAGGCCAATCTCCAATGTACAAAGGAACATTTGATTGTGCAAAACAAATTGTGACTAAAGAAGGTTTCACTGGTCTTTATCGTGGTATGGTTGCTCCGATTGCTGGTGTAGCTCCTATGTATGCAGTGTGTTTTTTTGGCTTTGGAGTCGGTAAGAAGTTGCAACAATCACATCCCGATGCAGAGTTGACATTACCACAGTTATTTAATGCCGGAATGTTGTCTGGTGTTTTTACCACTGGAATCATGGCTCCAGGTATGAATATTTGACCTAAAGATTCTAACTATTTAAATATTTACTGATCATATTTTTATCAATTAATAACAGGAGAAAGGATAAAATGTTTATTACAAGTTCAAGCTGCTAATCCGAATGCTGCTCAACAATTTAAGGGACCAATTGATTGTGCCAAAACATTATATCGTCAAGGAGGTATTAGGAGCATTTATAAAGGAACAGCAGCTACATTATTGAGAGACATACCTGCTAGTGGTGCCTATTTTATGAGTTATGAGTGGATTCAACGTGTTTTAACACCAGAAGGTAAATCTAGAAGTGATTTAAGTGCCGGTCGAACTATTATTGCTGGTGGAATGGCTGGTATTTTCAATTGGATGGTCGCAATACCAGCTGACGTTCTTAAATCACGCCTGCAAACAGCTCCAGAAGGTACCTATCCTAATGGTATCAGGGATGTTTTTAAGCAATTGATGAGAGAAGATGGTGTTAAAGCACTTTACCGAGGTGCCACTCCAGTTTTCCTTCGAGCTTTCCCGGCAAACGCTGCATGTTTCCTTGGTTATGAACTTGCAATGAAATTTCTCAATTACTTAGCTCCTGATTTATAAAAAAAACATTCAACGAAATGCAATATTTACTGACACTTTTGAAAAAAGTTGATTAGCTCTATTAATTAATAAAATTGAACAATTTTTGATCATTGTTAATGTTTCTTGCCTTTTTAATGTTTACAGTTTAATAAATCCAATTCATTAATGCCTTACTCCTGATCTATTCCTAATATATTCCTGATTGTTTGACCTGAATCTAAACACAGGAAACAACTGGTTACTTGATTACAACAGCGATGATGCGACAGCAATTAGTTAACATTGAATCATTGAACTTGAAAAGGAAACGAAACGAAAGAAACACCATTGAATAACCTTTCCTTGAATCATCCGCAGCACCCTTATCTGCATTTGTATCTTCATTTATCGTTATAACCATCGTTTTCCTTTGAATGCATCGTTATTCGTTCTCTGATCTTTTCTGGTAATTCATTTCTGCAATTTTCCTAAACATTTCATTTTTTGGTTCCATCTAAATGTCAATTGAATTACCTTATTAGTTCGCATGAATTTATTGACAATTGATTGAAAAAATTTGTGTTGACCAACGAACTGGACTTTGACTCATTGAACACAAATATAACAGATAAAAAGTTAACCTGATTTGTATCGAAATGTTTGATATTCATTCTTTGGATTAACTGCTTTCAATAAAATGCGTTTTGTCGTGAATGACTTTACTCTCTTTATAATTGACACCAAGATATCTAAAGTAAATTGTCTGGATAATTGTTTTAAAAGCTTGGTTCAACTGATTTCCAGATAGACTGGCTAACTCGACTTCTTTACCATGTGACGATGCGACAACAGATTTGATGATTGCCCGAGGAGCCAACTCTTGAACAAATTCACACTTTGTATATCTACGATGTTCATGATTCCGACCGTTAAATGGCAATCATAATTCCCACAATAAATTGTGTGATTCAATAAAATGTTTCCTCCGTCTTAAAACGCCATCTGCTGTTTCTATTATTGATATCCTATTTTTGTTAAATTTGAAAACTTACTCTTTGAAAATTGTAAATTAACTATCACAAAAATGTCTGATTCTCAGCACATTAGTCCTTTAAAAACTTTATTGCTGATGGTTTTGGTGTTGGTACCGTAATGCTCTTAATACCGTAAAAGTGTAACTTTAAACTATGCCAAAGCAGCTCCAGACCAATCAATCCATCCCGATGCAGATTACCACATTTATTTAATGCCGGAATGTTGTCAGGTGTTTTTACAGAGCAGTTTTTGGAGAAATCGTAAATCAATTTTGGTAAAAAATGTCTGAATCACAACGTGTAAGTCATAATAAAAATTTAGCTGCTGGTGGTTTTGGTGGTGTCTGTTTAGTCTTTGCTGGTTACCCGCTTGACACCGTTAAAGTGAGACTTCAGACTATGTCGACACCAACTGCAGGCCAATCTCCAACGTATAAGGGAGCTTTTGATTGTGCAAAACAAATTGTGACTAAAGAAGGTTTCACTGGTCTTTATCGTGGTATGCTCGCTCCACTGGTTATCTCTGCTCCGACATTTTCGCTCTGTTTCTTTGGCTTTGGAGTTGGTAAAAAGTTACAACAATCTCATCCCGAAGAACAGTTAACATTACCACAACTATTTAATGCCGGAATGTTGTCAGCTGTTTTTACCACTGCAATAATAGCTCCAGGTATGAACAATTGACCTAACGATCACTTCTATTGAGATATTTATTATAAATCTGTTCACAGGAGAAAGGATAAAATGTTTATTACAAGTTCAAAGGGCTAATCCAAATGCAGTTCAACAATTTAAGGGACCATTTGATTGTGTCAAAGCACTTTATCGTCAAGGAGGCATTAGGAGCATTTACAAAGGAACAGCAGCTACATTATTGAGAGACATACCTAGTAATGGTGCCTATTTCATTGGTTATGAGTGGATTCAACGCGTTTTAACACCAGAAGGTAAATCTAGAAGTGATTTAAGTGCCGGGCGTACTATTATTGCCGGTGGAATGGCTGGTGTTTTCAATTGGATTGTTGCGATTCCAGCTGATGTTCTCAAATCACGCCTGCAAACAGCACCAGAAGGTACTTATCCTAATGGTATCAGGGATGTTTTCATCAAATTAATGAGAGAAGATGGTGTTAAAGCACTTTACCGAGGTGCCACTCCAGTTTTCCTTCGAGCTTTCCCGGCAAACGCTGCATGTTTTCTTGGTTATGAGCTCGCAATGAAATTTCTTAATTGGTTAGCTCCTGATATGTAGGAAAAATCATTCAACTTGAGGCAATATTCAGGATTCTTTTGAAAAAAGTTGATGAGCTTGATTAATTAATAATAATGAACAATTGTTGATTATTATTAAATATGTATAATATTATTAGTCTTGAATATCTTTAAGTTTCAATAATTTAATTTAACTTTCAAAACCTCAAGTCTTTCCTATCTTTGAATTTGTTACAGTTAACAATCAACTCAATAATCGAGTCAAAAAAATAACTTGTTTGCAATAATCGTTTCCATGTTAAATCAAAGAATCACAATAAAAGTTTCTTTTTCAATTAATGTTGATTCTTAGTATCTCGACCAGCTCAACGGTTATCTAGCTGACGTATTTCAATCTCACCTTTCAACAACAAAACATTATAGAAACTCGAAAGCACTTTAGTTACTAACAAGTTTACTGTAACTTCCGGTCCTGACTTTAGTTTTCCTCCTCTTAGGTCAAACTGGTTTATGGTCATTGCATTTTTATGTTTTTCTGCTGTTGGTTTGGTATTGTGTTTACAAGAAAAGGGTTGCTTTAAGCACATTGTTTTCGTTTTATAATACAATGAATCTAGATCTCAAAATATTTCTTAATCATCAATGTTGATTCGTTTATCAACAGTTCAACAGTAATCTTTTGCTAAATTAATAATTACCAACTCTGTTTAAAATGAATGCAAACAGTAATGTACCGGGTAAAGTGACGATCAAAATGAAATTGAGTGATGAAGATTATCATGATATTGTTCTTGACTGGTCAGATGAAAGTTGTGAATACAAACAGCAACTATTTATGCGAAAGGTGAGATCATTAAATTATCTAATTTACATTCTTAATACTAAATGTTGTCTTGCTTAAAATTATAGCTTGCTTCATACACCAGAGTACCGATTGAATACTTCACGTGTGTAATCCTGTTTCATGGACGAGATACACACATTTTTCACAACCAAGAAACTAAATACAGGTAAAAATTGTTTTTGTTGACTCTTTAAATAATTTTGACTAACATCAAGTTTTTTTAACTTCCATTTAATAGAATTGGTATGATTGAACCTGAAAATGAAACTTTTATGAGTATTTTCAATGATGGTAATTGTTTTTGTGTTTATACGGCATTTTGTTGGTCAGACCAAGATAATGGTTTTGTGATAAGATTTGAACTGGCGACTCCAGATGTGGCTAATGTTTCACAATGTGACTGGTTCTGGTGTCAATACACGAGTACCAGAGGTTTAATGGATAAAAGAATAAAAATACTTAAAAATTCTGAGTTAAATGCAAAACTCAATGCTGAAAACGAGAGACGACATGATGATGATGGTGCTGAGTTTGGGAGACTCTATTCCGATTACAATATCAATCAAGTTCACTCAATGTATTTTAATTGTCGTTCCGACGAGATGGATTATCACCCCGAACGTCGTTATCCATCGAATCGTGGTTAATCTTAATTTTATTGCTGATTATTCAGCAGCCAGATTAGTTAGAGAGTTAAAGTCCGAAGAAAGTCTGAGCTAATTCATTTAATGATAAATAAACTCATAACGCATAAAAGTTATATTTGAGTAACAATTTAACTTGATAAACAAAGTCTAAAATCTGCCAACATAAAGTAAGTAAAAGTAACACAATGTTATTGATATAACTTTTTTTTGTTGAATCTTAAATAACTTAATGTTTCGATGACCTTAACAAAATCTAATACTGGGTCAAAGAATAATGATTGTAAGTTTTTTCATTCACGAAATATCGAGGTTCAAAGTTTTTCGAATTATGACCAAAAACAAGAGAACCGTTGATAAGTTGAAAAAAGTTTTCGACACTTGCAATGTAAAAACAATTTTTATAATGTATAAATAATAATAAGTTTAATCTCTATGCCTTATGGTTACAGAAAAAGGTCGCTTTAACTGAAAATCGAATTGACTTGTACACAAAATAGAAAATTATATTTCTCAAAAGAAGTGCATTTTCTGGTTTATCATCAAAAATCACATCGGAAAAATGAGTTTCATGAAAAAATTTGCTTCCATAAGTGTACAAAAAGCGATCGAAGTTTCATCTACAAACTTGAATTAAACACTATTGATCAGAGAAGTTCTTAAATCACGAAAATAGACTTAATTTTTATGTTTCTACAAAGCAACAGAATATAAATTTGAAAGAAACTAATTTTTTAGCCGTTTGAGTCGACTTTTGTTTCAGTATTTGTGTCAAGCTGTGCATAAATATGAAATTTGTTTTGATTGATTTTTTGTTAGATTCATTTTCTAGGTCAAAGTGGTTCAAAATTCACATAAACTCGGAAAAATATTAATTTTGTATTGAATTTTCAATGAGATTTCGCAATTTATTTAATCATTTTATCATTCATGTAGCAATCTCGATTGATAATGACTAGAACAGCAACAATTGTTTCTTTTCATAACATACTTTATAATCTTAATTCGAGTTCTTTTCTCTTGTAAATGGTTAAAAAGAAATAGAAATAACTTATAAAAATATACAATGTAATAATAATACTATAAATTGGAAGGGAGAAATAACAAGTTTATGGTAATAATTAAAAACAATCAGGCATCTGATTGTTCATCAACACTTTTATCCTCTTCTTTAACTGGTTCCATATTGGAAGGTTGACAGGCAGGTGGAGGAAGTGAAGGAGGTTCGATAGGCTTTGTCCACTTGATTAAAGTCTCTGGAGATCTATAGAGAAATATTAATTTGGCGTAAAGATCTTCTTCCAAACCAAATTCTCTGCTCTCCCGAACAAGGTAGATATCAAGACATAATTGAAGTACCCTGTCTACACAAGGCATTTGAGTGTAAATAACTTTGTTACATAAATCAGCAAAGAAGCCGCGAATGAGTCGAGAAACAACAAATACAAAAGTTGTATAAAGACCAAAGATTCTGTAAGATAATCAGATAATAAAAAAATGGTTAGATTATTTTGGAAATGAATTTGTTTCTTCTTCGTTGAAAATGAAAAACTTACCCATGACCAGAAATTAGCTGAAGTAATGGTCCAGGGAATATTTTGTCACTAAAGATAACACTAGTTAAGTATTGACAATGTGCCCCACCATCATCAAAATAAGAGAAAGGATCGGAATCATTTGTACAATTCGCTTCAGAAACTTCCCACCATTGAGCGATTGATCCATTTTCAAAGGTTCCTTTTTTCAAAATTATAGCAACATCACGATAAGCTGGACCAAAATCTTCTAGAACTTCAGGCATTCCTGCTTCAGGAGCTTTTAAATAATTAGGGAAAATTTCTCTCAATATTGCCGGTTCATTTTGACTATCATAGATGACTTCATTATCGTCGATGAAGTCGGGATGACGAAGCATATTAATCAATGTTTTCCTCAGTTGTTCATCATCTTTGGTGATTTCGATTGTATGATAATTGTAAATACTGGGATTTAAGTTTTGAGTCTTTGACTTTGAATCTCGAGTGATTGAGTAGGTAATTTTAACAAGAATTGGCATATCAGATTGCAAGGCTTCAATCAAAGATCGTTGACTTGGTGGACTTATCGCCCAAACTGCTGTTGAATTGCCATTAATTTTTGATTTAACTGCATCCGCATAACTATACGTTGAGAGTAGATTCTGTCCACTAACCCATTTTTTCTGGTTACATAATTGTTCAAGAGCATAGTAAGTTTTGGATGTGAATGGGTCCAAAGCTTCATTAGTCGAGCTCACTTTAAATATTGACTGATAGCCACTGAATTCAATTTCAATGGCAAACTCGGAAGGTGCATTCGGCTGTCCAATGGTACCGCTGAGAGCAAAAATAAACAATGGAAACCAAATAGCACCAATCATTAAAAGAAGAATAGCTCCTCCTCTAATATATTTTGGTGCTCTTCTTCGAGATATTGCACCAGGTTCGGGGAAATTTTCTTCGAATGTCAGTTCGCATTTTCTTTCAAATAATTGTTTATTTATATCTTCCATGATTGCCCATTCATTTAAACCGAGACTGGTATCAGTCCACATCCAGTCCATCATTAAACGCATATCATAAAGAAAAGGTACCAACATGTAAAGCATGAAGAGGGTCGAATTTACGAATGTGTACTTTTTGGTGAAACAATTACCCAGAATTCGAGTCGGGTAACCACTTTTAATTTGCCAGGCAGATAGAAGAAGATAAATTGATTTAAAAATGTACCACAGTTTAGGTGCATTATTGTCTGGGTCTGTAAAGGATCGACCAGTCATAGCGGGTAACGCTATGAATAGGAAAATGTGCATTGCAAAAGAAATAACAATATGGAATATTAATCTCTTTTTGACATCTTTTCGCAGGTAAAGACCACGATCAATGATGATTAAACCAAATTGGAAAAGTAGCATGAATAGAAAAGGCATTGGAACTCGATTTTCTTGTAAATATGTTGTAATATCACCAACACCAGGACTAGTCTGTAATGAATAAATATAATTAGCAAGAGTTATAATTGAAATGATTCATAAAAACAAAATTAGCTGCTTACTCCAAATGAACTGTAACCAAACCAAACAGTAAAAAAGTTAATGAAATCGCAGAAAAACATCATTGCATAATAATCTTTTGCTATTCGAAACGGTGGTGACAAAATTCGTGTGATGAACTGTCTGACAGGAGAAACAGTGGCCCAACATCTAATTTAAAAGTGTAAAAGGTAAAAGGATGAATTAAGTTTTATTTTGTGAGAAAACATGAATAATTTTAATAGCGAGTTGATCATCTTTAAAACTTACTTTTTCTGCATATTTTCACTTGCTTCAAGTAACTTTTGAACGATTTCGATTTCCTTATCATCTTGAGTCACAAAATTGGACAATGGTTCATCTTCTTGATATCTTTGAGTTTCATCAGAGAAAGATAAATCCTCTATATTTCGTCTCCTTAGAATAGTTTCACTTTCTTTACGGTATTTTATCGGAACAATTTTAACTTCTTTAGATATCTCATCACGACTAGCTCCAGAAGCTGAAGCAACTTCCCGATTTTGACCTCTCGAAGATTCTCTAGTAAGTTCAAAAGTCTCATCAAGATCCCATAAGCCAAGGCTCTAAATTAAATATAAAGATTGAAAGTAAATATTAATCATTGATATTACGCTCCAAAATTGTCACCTACTTTTAACATGAAACGATGGAAGAATAAAGCCAATAATAGGAGTAAATCCATTTTAGATTTACTGCCTTCTCTGATTTGATGAGTGGAGGGATCAATATCGACAACACCAAATAATGTTGGAGGCCAGAATGGATCATTATCCACTGGACCGGACATCCATCTCCATACTTTGAAGGAGAACAAATATTTTGTAATAATTACAAGTTCCGTATAAGTTATAACGTAAAGCCAAAAGGTTCGAGTTGGACGAGGAACTGATAGACAGCCCCAGAGGAAGACCATCAATGGTAAAGGCATTGAGAGTAGACTTGCATTGATTAATTGATTGAGGATAACCAGGAAATAACAGAGAAATTCCGAATGAGAGATAATGGCATAAAAAAGGGACCACAGAAAACGAACAAAGAAGTTGGCTTCCAAAAATGGATCAGGTGTTGTCAGTTTATCTTCACTTGGAGCTTCGTTATCTTCTCGAGGTACAATGCTTATAAACAGTTCTTCTCTGATAAGAATGGGTCGAGGTGAATTACTTATTCTGTTTAAATCAGTATATGATGCTTTAGAAATCAGTTCTAGTGTTTCTCTTTGCAAATCATGATCACGGTCGTAATCATCGTCAATAATTAACCTTTTTAAGGCTTTTCTCTCAATTTCCAATCTTCGAGATACAAATCTATAGTCTCGTGAAAGTGAATTTAATTTAGATGTCAAACTTATGACAAGACTCTTGAAAAATAAAACAGTCAATTTACACCACCATTCAATTTTCCTAATAATAGATTCACATTGTCCATCATCAGAAGCAACTTCAGATTCCGTTTCTTCAAATTTATCATCATCTTTGATAAGTTCATCACTTTCTGAATCAACTGCTAAAGTTGATGAACCTTCAGATTCAGGTGATTCTGGAATTGTCGATGTTGGTGGTAATGAAGAGAATTGTGTAGTCAATGACGATTCCCTATCAATTTCGGGTTCTCTATCAACAGATATTATAGCCGAGTCTTTACTTGATTCACCGACATCCGTCTTGTCTTCGATTTTCTTTTTTTGTTCTATTTCTGATTGAGCTGATTGTCCTTTAATTAAAGAGCTGCAAAACTAGAAGAGAAAAAAATATCGTAAGTATTTAATTTAATCTTTGACTTAATTAAACATACTGCCGTGACTCCATGAAGATTTGCAATACGATCAAGTTCATCACCAACTGGATCAGGTATCTGAGGACGTCGAGTTTTCTCATTAAAGTCAATTACTTCCAAATCCGGTTCATCAAACATGTAGTAATCTCCTGATTTAACAGCTATAAATTTAAATGGAAGAAAAGCAAAAGAATTAGATTTTGATGAACAAAATTGATAAATAAATTAAATCGAAAGCATAAAATGTTTAACCAAAAATTGCAAGAGCCATCGCCATTAGCATAATCTGTTTATCAAAGCTTAACAATAATATTTCAATCCGTATTGTGCAAATAAAGTAAAAAGTATGAAAAGCTTCAATGTTGTTAAAATAAATTACTTATTCATGAAACAAAAAGCTGGCAAATATTTTTTTAAGCAGCCTTAAGGCATGTAAAGCAAGTAAATCGCTTTGCTTAAGATATGGATTTTGTCAATTTACATGAACCATGTGATGCTGCCACAGAGTTACATAGAGAATGGTGACGATGAACGGAGGAAATCCGTGAAAGGGGTTGATGAGGCTTTTGATGAACTCGAAATGAAGGTCGACTGACTATTGCAGCATCACGCGGAATAGATTCTGAGGGTGGGAAAGCTAGATTTTGACGATTGTCTTCGCCACTGCCACTACTATGTCCTACTCCAGCTCTAGAGGGACCGGTAGATATAGAAGTATATGGAGTTGAACCCTCTTCGAAGGGGGAAGAATTGGGACTGAATGAAGGAACGGTAGGACCTGAACTGAGTGCATCGATAAATCTAGGTGAATATGGGATTCTGAAGATTTCCAAATATCCTTTTCCTTCAGCATGAGAGGCAGCTGAAGAGGGTGACATTAAAGTGGGTAAAGAGGGTGTGGGTGAATAAACGGTGGGAAGGATTGTTGACGGAGGAGTTTCTTGTGGCTCTGGTGTGTGGGGAAAAGTGCCTTCCGCAGTTGAATAGTAAGGTGAAACATCGTAATCACGATAATCTCCTGTAGAACAAGAAGGAAACGCAAAAGACAAATTTATCATACAAATTGAATGGAAACAACAATGAAACCTCGGCTTCTCATTTTCCAGTATAAATTAGGTTGAAATTTTTAAATTTGTAACCAGAATGAAAAATTTGGTTGAATAATCAATGATGGCCTTTAAACGCGTTGAGGGAAAAAATTTAGTTCTTGTTTGATTTGTTTAAATAAACGATTAAATGATTAAACGACAATATCGGAAAAATTAATGGAAAGATTAACAAACCTTGATAATGATATTTGATCTTATTGATCTTATTACTTGATCTAGCACCGAGAGAAGCTTGTTGGTTGGCACGAATACGGTCCATTTTAGCTTTAATTTTTTCCATAACTTCTCTTTCAGAATTCTCTTGTTCACGAACTTCTTTCAATTGAACCTCATGAATTAATTGAGCACCCCGTGAAGCTAAAGTAGTTTGAGCCCATATTTCTTTGACTAAAAACTTAAAATAATGGCTGCCAAATATGCGTTTTTGCATTAAAAGGAAACAGAAACAAAGGCAATCCATAGTGAGTTGAACTCGATCTCGTTGGTCAATAACGCAATTGTACTTTACAGGTCCTGGTTCTATTATTCCTCGATCACAAACAATTCCCATCAATTGAACAGCCCAGCAATAACTGCCTAAAAGTTCCCGTTGATAGGTACAACCAATAATCTAAATAGGAAAATAAAAAGTTGTTATAAATAAAGTGAAAATTCATTCCTCAATTTTTTTCTAAATACTTAAAATGTATTGATAAAATGACTCTTTAAGGTCTTTTATATTAATAGATGCATTAGCATACCTGTAAAATTGTTTTGGACAAAATAACGAATAGGTTGTAAAAGATCAATATCTTCCAAGCTAATACAATGTTTCTTTGTTGTCGAAGGTAAATGTCACTGCCCATCCAAAGAAAGATGAAACATCCAATGATATAGCCAACTCCAAATAAATTGTCAGGAGACATTGCTGTTAGGAAAACAATTGCCAAAGTTAGCCAGACAAATGTAGTGAAAAATAGTGATCTGATGTGATCAAATATAGTATTGGTAAAGGTGAAAAAGTCTTCAATATCAGGATTATGAGTACATGCTTCTGAGCCCAGATCAATGTTATCACCACCTTCATAATTAAATGGATCAGGTCTTCGTTCAATTTTGAAGACAAGATATTGACGACCAGCAAGAAATAGTACAAAGAAATCATAAAATAATTTAAAAGCATCAGGAGGTTTGATGAAATCAGGTAAAAAAAGCCATTCTCGACAAATTTGAAAGTAAGCTGATGAACTTTCCCAAGGGTAATTGATACAGAAACCTGGTGGTATCCCAACACATGATATGTATTCGATTGGTAAGAAAACGCAAAGAAATCCTAAAAAGTAAGGCCAAATGCGATTTATAATACGCCTTGGACACATTGTAAAGATGATGAGAGCAACAGAATAAAAACAGCTAACAATATCTTTGCGATATTGAATGGCAATAACAATCATAAAACAAGTAATCTCTAGACCAAATTTATAAAAACCATAGTTGATCAAGTATCTTGCAAGCCCGAGAAATCCTTTCTCAGCATCTTGTCGTTTTACTCCAGAAATAGCGATTCCAGGAGGTAAAGGTCGAATATTCTTTCTTTGACGATGAATTTGTTGTCTAATGGCCACGATAGAGTTTATTGTAAGCATCAAAGTAACGAAAAGATCAAGCTAATAAGATAGAAAAGAAGATATGTTAAAATCACAAAGAGAACATTTCAATCAATCAAATTGTACCTTTATGTAATTGAATACTTGATTATTTTCAACTTCCTTGAATCCAATATAAAGTCGATTGTCAATAGGACCAGAGATAGGGAATGATGTATTTGAATATGGCTGTTAGGAATGAAATGATAATTTTAGATTAAACAGATTTCATGGAAAAATTATAATTTCGTTTGGATCAATTTTGTATAATCAAAGGCTTACATCGGAAGTACAGTTTGATAACCATGTAGTTGAAGAGTAAACAGTAGGCAATTGATAAACCATTTTGGTAAGAATGAGAACAGAAGCCCAAGAGCCGATTAAATACAGGATAAATCTCTCGAATTGTGTTAACGAAATTGCAATTGAAATGAGAACGATAAAAGCAATGTTAACAAGGGAAACCTGTAGGAAGGTTGAAAGCGTTAATGCTATTGAAACTTGAACAAACTAATGGTTAGTAACTAACCTCTTTGAGAGCAGCTATAGTTGCAACTAAAAGGCAAATTTTGTTAAGATGAATTTCAAGTAATCTCCAGATAAGTTGGAGGAAAAAATGCATAGCTGGGCCGATAGCCGCTATAAATGAACGTAACTTTGAAGATACAAAGCTCACAGATAAACGAGGTATTCGTTTCTTTTTGGTTTCTGATTTAAGCAAAATACTTTCAATGCAATCATCAGAATCTCTTGTAGTAGTCATTGTTCGGGAAGACGTTTTACCAGATTTGGTAGCTGAACTGGCAGCTTGACTGGTTCCAGATTTAGATGGAGTATATTTGGTGGTGGTTGAAGTAGTTGTATCAGAATCAATTTCAATTTTTATGTCTTTTGGCAAATCTGTTGTAGTTGACCCTGCATTACTAGGCCCAGCCGCTGGTGTTGTAGTGCTGGTAGAAGTGCTGGACCCTTCTCGCCTTTCAGGTATTAAATCACATCTTGTGAATAAAAGAAAGTCTTTATGCCAAAATCGAAGTTGGATAATTGTGATAATTAAAAAAAATGTTGGGGTAAAAAGCTCTTTAAAAAGTACCCAAGGATCTGCTCCATATAATTTGAGGCCCAAAGCTTCTTGCCTAATAAAAGGAACAAAAAAATCTGTCAATAACAATATTAACATGGTACTTAGACGTACATTTCTTTACTCATTCGAAGATAATCTTGCCAATAACGAGCAAAGTGTTGAAATTGATAAGTATAAATAGCGATGAGAACAGTCATTGAGTAAATGATTACAACCAGCCAAAAAGGATACATGAATTTTCGCCATAATTTAAATGAAAGCTATTAAAGTAAAAATGAAAAACGAAATGAAAAATAATTAGATTATTGGATTATTATGTTATTAGAAATTAGCTTTGAGTCTTAATTAGACGAAATACTTACTTGAAAAACAAAAATAAAACTCAAGAAAAGAGACATGTAAGCAATTCGATAAATGACAACTCGATCTCCACCAAGTGACATAACCATTAGCATAATGGCAACAACCCAAATCCAATATTTAATAAATAAACCTCTTATAAAATTGGAAAGTAAAAGTAACGTCGGGCTGACTTGGGGTAAAACTGCGCTTGCAAGACTCATGTGACGTTGGAATGAAGGTCGACCCTGGCTTCCTCTATTTGTACTCAACGATCTATCTCGTTCTTGATTCCATCGAGCCAAAGTTTGCTCTTCACTATACTGACGTAATGTTATCCAAAACATACAGGTAAAAAGTGTCTGGAAAATAAAGGATGAGAGTAAATAAATAATTTCATAGTCAATATTTGCTGAATATCTTTGATCCTTGGGGATTCTTGTTCGCCTGAAACGAGTCTTACACAATGGACAGTTTAACAGTCTGTGTTCAGCTTTTTTAAGGCCTACAGAAATAACCATGATGGACATGATTGTGATGGATAAACTTGTTAATGCAAAGCTTAGTGCAAAAGTATTTGGAGTTAAATATTGACAAACCTTAACTGGGTAATTAAAAGATTACTGAGCTTAATTTCTGGTTATTGATTCGGCCTAAATTCAACGTTTTTTTTGTTTCCAGTTCGTTAAAGCTTGAATTTTACTCATGCCTCTGTTTTGTTCGCAGTTACTGATAGTTATAAAAAGTCTAGAACATGATGATTAACTGATTAATAAAGAAGTATCAATTTAGAAATTTCTATTCAATTTAACGAGTTGAATTGAGTTACCAATATGTGAGTGCACTCAAACCCCTGATAAACACAGTCGGGATTCATAATTAAAATGAATTTTTCCAATCCTTTTGCACTAAGCTTTAAGATAATCCAGCTTTCCCAATCTACAATCTATCTGATAGTTTATGACAGAGATAAGAAAGATATAGACGAAAATATCTCTGAAACTGAAACGATTTTAAAAGTGGATCTATGCTCATTATTAGGACAAAAGATGCTTTTTATGAAATTTAAGTCTTGTGCGACTGATAAAACTGAGGAAAATTGTTCAAATGATAATGAACACTGCAAAGGTCAATAAACCTAGACTTGATAAAAGCTTTATGAATCGTTTTAAAATATTGATGACTAAAGAAGGTGATTATTGTGAGTCTCTTAATTATATTCACACTTAAACCTTAAAATCCAAAGATGGAAAACCTTAGAAAGAGGATTTTGGAAATGACGCATGAAAGTCTTTTGTTGTAGGTCTTAAAAAATAACTGTACTTAAATAGTAAACTGTCCATCCTGGAAAATTTATCATGGCCGAAGAATAAATTCTCTGTGTAATCAAATTTACCTTTAAAGCTAGAGGTTTATATGACATATCAAAATATTTTTTCAAACCAATCTCACTGAGATTGATTGTTCCAATAAATTGAGGTAACTCATCTTCTCGAAGATCCAAACTGAAAATGTATTGAGAAAGAAGAAGTAGAATGGCGTAAATGACAAGACAAAATGACGATTTAAGACAGGCTTGACGTGAATTAGGCATCATCCAGATTACACAGGACCAAAGGAGTAGGGTGAAGCCAAGCCAACTATGATATGTTATGCTCCATGTCTATTGAAAAAATGATACAAAATAGGACAAATTAGACTACCAAAAAATATGGATGGTAAAAAGAGTTAAATTAATGGCAGGAAATGTTATATTGCTACGTTAACTTGGAGGCTCAGTAATTTACTTTTATAGAAATAAGTGAAAAAAATTTCGATTGAATAGATTAATTTTCGAAACTTAATCAGTTGATCATTTTTAAAGTTATAGTGAGAAGTCTAATTTTTTTGTGATCCATTTCAATTAAACAAAGCCTGAATTTGAAATACATTGACATCTATTAAAAAGTCTGTTGAAAATGCTTAATCAGTGCGATTCAGGTGTGAGTATAGTCTGAAGTCAACCTCATTTCATGCACATGAAACTCATGATTGGCTGAAAGTTTATCAGTTAAATCATTATCACTCTTTTCTTACCATCATAACAATTAAGGTTAGGGCATAGCTTCCACGTTTAATTAAATTCATTAGATAGAAGATTGGAGCCCAACGTAGAGATCTATCAACTGTAGTAGGATTGGGTGATGTTGGACCAGTTTGTACAGTTGTTTTTTGTACACTACTGGTAACACTGGCTCCATCGACAAGGTCATTTCTCCATGTAAGACTCCCATGTGGATCCATTTCCAATCCAGTTCTAGGAATTGAAGGTTGCTCTTGAAGAGCTTGATAACGTTTAGGTTCAGTTCCAGAAAGAAGCTAAAATAAGAGGAAATAAATTATAATGAAAAACAAAAGCAAAAATCAACCAAATAATGAAACAAGGTTTTAATTTGAGAAAATTGTGCTTAGAAGCTGATGAAGCTGATGAAAATTTGATCATCAATTTGATAGCCATTTGATAGCCATGCTACAAAAGCCTGTGTTGATCAATAAGTTTATTATGAGCAACATTCCTGCTGGAAATTGTTATCAGTCTGAAAAGCTGAAATTGAAGCAAGTTTGAAAGCTGAAAAGGTTTATGCCATTGGATCGTTTTAATGCTGTTATCTGATAGATTGAGCATAAAGCATTGAAAGAAGCATTTTGATTGTTATTCATTTTTTGATTGTTGTAATTTCAGTAAACACATAACAATCAAAGAGTAAAAACAAAAGCTATAAATATTGCAAGATGTCATAAAATGAAAGTTGGCGCACTTGATAGTGTGACAATTGATTGTTTATGGTAATCATTTGGCCTGTTACTTAAGTGGGGGAAATGTGATTAAATCTGGTTCATGAAAGTGAAATTAACATGAGAAAAATGTTTATAACACTGAAAACTGGTTAAGTATGGAAAGTAATATCGGGTTGACTATCAGATAACGCTGATTCATTATTTAAATGACAATTGTGACCACTGCTGTCAATTGTTGACAAAATTTGAACCATGAATTGGCCAAATAATACAATGAGATACAATGAGAAGTTGGATTCTGGATAACGTGAGTTAAGGTTGGAGGATGTTTAGCATTACATACTGGTGTTGATTCAGTCTTAAAAGGAGCAAGATCGTGCAAAGGCATGGTGTATCCAACAACTTCCGACTCTTCCTCAACCAAATCATTAAATTTAACAATAATCTAAAGGGAATTATCGAAAGGTAAATGAAAAATGAATGTGAATGAAGGCGATCAAAGAAATAAAAAGTTGGACAAGGTTAATATGCAGAGAGATGGGAGATTAATGGGGAAAAATATGAATAAATGAACAAAAGCCAATGAACAAATGACATTGGGATTTCAATATGCATTGAAAAAATTATCATGCTGGCAATCATTAATAATGCTGTTAATCATGCAAGTAAAGGTGGGTTCAAGTGTACAATGTTTACTGTAAGGGTAACTCTGTGAGTCAGTTTTCATGCAGTTTCAATTGTGATTTAGCAAAGTGTTTAAAATTGAATCAAAGTGCTTATTGTGGATGCATATTGTGCTTTTCATTAAATAGTAATGACACCTTACATTTGAACTATTGGAGTAAATTGTGTTGATGGAAGACTTTTTTGTATTGTTTAAAAAATTGAAGTTATGTTTGACATAATTCATGGAGATTAGTTCACTGGGCGAAGTGTGCTGTAAATCACAGTTAATTGCAAGGGTCAACGGTGGGCCGATGGTTAAACATCTAGGTTTACTGTGGACTACCTATTCAGCAGAGAAAATAAGATTCAAAATTGAAACTCAATCATAGATTTACTACAATTTAATGTATTGATTTGTAAACTCAAATTGATCAAAACTAGAGATTTTCAAGATTTGAATTTGATTTGCTCAAATTTGAACAACCAATTTTATCGATTGATTCATGTGTTTTCAGATTATTAGTAACTTAGTATCACCTGTTTATGATCTGTAGAATCTTTAATGGCAGAGGAAACATTGAGTTAACTATTAACTAATTGATGTCTTGTTTTATTGCAATCTGATGGATACTTTTTTATTTCATTCCAAACTCAAGTGAAAGACTATAAATTTTTCTTCTATTGCTGGTAAATGAAAATGTTGAGGTTCCACGAGTAATAACGATAATGAGTTTCAACAAATTTCAAGGGATCTCTTCAAATTACATTAACAATCAGGAGGATAACAGTGGAAACATGGAGATTTGAATGTAGACTTAGTAACAGTTGAATTACTATTTGTCCAAATATTGTCACTATTGACTGAACCCAAATTGTAGACAATAATATTTACTTATAATTGAATGATTTGTTAAATTATTAAACGACAGGTGAAAAGGTTGGACAGTTAGACGATCATGATGCAAGGTAATCTCACAATTTAGATGGAAGAATTGATTATTTGATTAAAGAATAAAAGGTTTACATGTTAGTTGATTACAATTGAGATTTCCTTATTGAAACCAATCATTTTGTACGCCCATAACTATGTATTCCTCAACCAATTAATAATGAATCTTAACAGTTTTGTTAAAGAAAAAGGTTGAGTTAAAAGCTGTAATTGGAAACGTTAGCTAACAATTAAACAAGTATAACCAATATTGTTGATATTGATAATCTCAATTTTACACTCATTAGCATCAACTAATGAGTAGAAGTGAAATTGTCTTTGATTATCAACAATTAGATGATCAATGTGGGAGAGATGAGTTCAGTAAACAAATAGAGATGAAAAAAGGTAAAAGGAGAGAGAGAAGAAGATTGGATAAAGATAGATTATGAACCAACAGTTGAAATAGAGATTATCTATTTCATGAGGTTTCATGGACTCACCTTTGCTTGGTGAAAAATTTCAGCTCTAACAAAGGAGCCAGCAAAGACATAAAGGATAACCAAGAAAAATGGGTGTGCATAAATGTTCCAGTTGAAATTTTCGAAGTAAAGTTCCCGAGCACTTGTACAATTAACTTTAACATAAGGTCGTAATCCAAATAATCTGGAAAGAGAATAGCAAATTGATAAATGTTTAATGAAAATTTTACTGAATCAAGTTAACGAGATTGGGGAATAATATTAACCAATAATAACCAATAGCCTCCATTTAGATATTGATGATTTAACAATTGATTGGTTAATGGTTAAAGGAACAATTGGAATAAATTGGTGAAATTTAATAAGATTAATGCTTTTCGGTAATCATAATGTGAATTTTTTTGGCTAATGAGCAAATTATCAATAGCAAATTATATCATGCTGGTGAAGATTTAATCAAGTTTATCTTATTTTCATATTTACTCGTCAAATTGAGAAGAGTTCAATCAATGATTCTATCTGTCCATTAAGGTTTTTTTTGGGTTTCTGGTAGTTTTACAGGGCGTGTCAGTTTACCATGATTTGAATTTTTCATAAAATTGTCAGTTAAAATGAAGACGATTTTTAGTTCATCTAAAAGCTCGATTTGGTTCAATTTCATAAACACGCCATTGTTCAACTTTTATTTGGTGAACACACATTGCTGTAAACACTTTGAGTTCATTGTTAGATTAACAATGATTAATTAAATAATAGGTAAATATTTCTCGTGAAATTGAAACTGTTTTGAAACGAAATTGGTTTAGTCGGATTCTGTGTTATTTGAAACCTTTTAGAGGTGAATCTTTGATTATTTGTAATACCATCTATCACTGTGATATGATTTTTGTTTTAATACAATTTGAAATGAACCATGGTTCAATGACACACCCTGGATAAACAAATAACCCAAAAACAAACAAATAAAAATGTTGAAAAATATTCAGGACTAACGGATAGGCTTAGAGTTTAATGATTGTTGCCATGATTCCTTAGCCTGGAATCAAGGTTGCCAGTGGATAACAATCTTTGACTATCCATTAGCCGTAAATTTTGGTTTAGTAGGAAGAAGGAGGAAACTTATTTTGAATGACAACCTTCAATAATATTGTGATTCTAATGGGTTACAAAAGGGAAAAAACGGAAATGATTTATCCTACATTGATAAGCAATTCTCTTCCTGTGAGGTCTTTAGGATCTCCATGAAAAAAAGTAAACTAGATCATGACACCTTCAAGATACCAAGTGATCACATTAATTATGATCAAACAATGGATTAGATGTTTTCAAAAATAAACAAAAATAAGCAATTGATGCTTTTCCCTATCACTCTATGAAAATGTAAACTTGACTAAATAGCACACAATTTATAAATCATTTTTATCTAAAGTTGATGGATTCTCTGTCATTGAATGTTTTCACAGTAAGGTTAATTTAGGCAGGTGAATGACTTGTCGAGATAAATCTTGAAGTGTCTCCAATTTTACATGATTCACAACAACAATAACAATAGTGAAATATTTTATCTTGAAGTGAAAGTTGTAAACATTGGACAGAGTCTAATGAGGAATCATTTGACGTTGGAATGATATAACCATATGGGCTGGACAATTGTGAAAAGCGAAGATTTCTTGTCTGGAAATAAGAAAGGTAATCAGATTTACCTGACCCATAGAGATGTTTCAGGAAGATTAGTTCGGAACCAATCCATTTGATAGAGGAAGAGTGCAGTAAGATGACAAATTAAAATTAAACATAGGATCAGGTATTAGATATGCCTAGACGGTTT